ATGACATATAAGAAACTCTCCTCAATTTTATGAGCTTGGAGGTTGGTTATAGCTCAGTGGTAGAGCACATTTTTAGCACACATAGGGCCTTGGGTTCACCATTTAGCACCAAAAACAAAGCAAACAAAAAAATTAAATTATTATATTATAGAGGAATAGGTCATGTAAACTTACTTTGGCCAAGCTATTACTAATAAAAACTCAAATAAAGTGGAAACAGGGTCATGAAAAAATTACAATGTCACAACATAAAGCATTATGAAAATCCCACATAAAATCTTTTATAATCCTAATTTGGTCTTTCAAAAAATAAAGAAATTTAGAAATTAATCCTTTGGTAACATAGCAAAAATAATTAGTAGCAAAAATTAGTAGCAAAGAAGTCTTGCAAATGCTAAGAAACTACATATGTTCTTTTATAAGTTACAAAGCTATGAATTAAATTGAAATCCACAAGACCTTTATAAACAGACCTTTATAACTCACCCTGGAGATCATTTAATCGTGAAACTGTTAGCTTGGCCTATTTTGATCCCTCCACCCAAATACACTGATGGACAAAAAGTGAAAGGATAATGCCTAAGAGGAATGAGAAATGTCAAACTGGGGCACTGCGATTCTATGTGCAAGAACTTTCTCCTTTATGTACATCTGCCAGACTGAATATGGCTGCAAACTCAGTCTCAAGAGAAGATGCTTCACTACTGATGCACTGAGTTGCTGCAAAATATGTGGTACATAACAGAGAGAGAGGAATGCCCTTGAAGATGCACTTCACTGAATGATAGGAGGCAAGTTCAAAGTGGCACAGAAATAAAAAGAAATCTGCATCGGGCCTGAGATTTGTGCAAATGTGGGTGAGGCTCATGAGTGAGACCCATGGTAGTTTCCAGACCTAGACATGGAGGCTGAGAGAACTTGGACAGGCACTGATTGCAGGAGATAGAGCGTGACCTCTCGGAAGAACACTCTTGCCTAATGTCAGACTGCTGTCACAGCAGAGGACTTTTCATAGAAAGTATCCGGTCGTGGGCACTAGCCAGGCATGGTGTACCGCTCTTTCTTAAATTCTTGAGTTCAGTGGTTTTCGGCTCTGGCAAATGAACAGGCTCCCAAGTGAAAGACTGAGTTTGCAGAGGCTGCAGCCTCGAAGCCTAGGAAACTCTTAACAGGCTGTAAAGCACTGACTCATGGGCGTACTAGATATACTATATGTTAGAGAATGATAAAACGTGTCTCAAATAATCTAGACCAAAGCTAGGATAGACATTTCTGTAGCCATTCTTTAATACACATTTCAACAGTACTTTTCTACAGAGCAATTAGTAGTTAAAGCCACATTCTACTTACACATATATTGTCTAACCCCTGCATGTACACCTCATTTAATCTGTCCTTGAAAACGTATCAAATTTTAACTCACAGGAGGCGATATATTTCATTCATTCCTTCTTTTTTTAAAAAAGGTTTTAAGCCTTTTCATATGGACATTTTCAAAAGTTCACAAAAGAACAGTATACTGAATCCACCACTCAACATTAACAATAACTTCTAATTTACAATAGTTTTACAAGGGAAAAATGTTCTGCAACTTACTAAAAACCACTCATCAGTTACCTCAAATATTACTAACATAGTCTTATATACTCATATGACAATCCTCTAAGGAGTTTTGGCTACTAATTTACTACAAAAAAAATCTTTTTCAGGATTGAAAAAAACCCTCTATGATTCTATTCTGAGGGATTGCAAAGCTTTCCTGAATCTACAATGCTATGCATGGCAGATGTGGACTGATAACTTAACGGTGAAAGTTCTTTGATTCTCTCCCATTTCCCAGGATTTCTTTGAATATAAGAGCTTTGCTAGGTCCTTGGGCTCACGTCTCTCTGCAGCGACTTTTCTGCCTCCCTAGAAATTTCCAGGTGATAGGATGGGAGACAGTAATGCCCAATACATTGCAGCACTAACGCCACATTCCAGGGGGACAGCTGAGACAGGAGCACAGCATACTGGTATCCTTCTGCCCTTTTTGATAATGTGACTATGAGGACTAATCACAGCAAATTTTTTATTCAGAGACTAAACACTGGGTAAAAATATCAGCAAGTTATTAAAGAAATATTTGGACGACTGTAGTTTGTACAGGAAGCTATACTTGGTTATGCACGTCTATTGGTTAATAATAAACTTTACCTACTCAGTTTAATAGTGTTGCTTCTGTTTTTATTTAATTATTTCAGTGTTTCAACTGCAAACCAAGGAGAGAGGCCTCACGAGAAGCCAACTCTGCTGACATGTTGACAATTATTACCTGTCTCTTTAACTGAATTTGTTATTTTAATCCATTTAATTTATGGTATACATGAGACATGTAGAAACATGAAGGTGTAAGCATGAGATAACTTTGCCAGTTTATGAAAATATTTAAAATATTTACAAAATCAACATATATATAACATTACTAGTAAGCAACATCAAGAAAATCTTTGTTGGTATACACAATAGTATTGAGGATTTTGTGGATGCAATGGACATTAAATTAACAATATTTTTCAATACTCTGTTCAAAGAGCTTTTCAAATACTGTATCAATTAATTACCCTATTAAGTCCCTGCAAAATAAGCTGTTATTACTCCAGATTTAGTGAAAAGGACTAATTATTACTATTTTAACAGTTTCTATAAAGAAAGAGAGAAATTACTCTATACAACCGCATACACCTCACTCCCCTTTAATGAGTAGGGAGCAGATAAAATAAAAGGTTGATTAGCTACGCGAATTCAGTGGAATACAGAGATGACTAACATCTAAAAAACCAGGACCTGTGAAAATAAAGAATTTAATATGCAAAGTGCAGACCCAAGTTGGCAGAAGGCTATTTATGAATATTGTCAATACTCAGTATGGCAGACTGACAATAGAGAATCTTTGGTCATGCCCTGAACAACATAATTCATCACACCAGTGCTTGGGGCCGTCATGTCCAAGCAATCTATCATCATCATATCACTCGTCGGAGTGCGAGAGGGGAGAACTTTGACGGTTAACCTCTGGGGAGCCTGGATTTATGGCCAGTGGCCCTCAGAATACAGCTCAGCTCTGCCCAAAACAAAATGCTTCCGGCTTCACTTCTGTTTAAGTCACAGTAAAAGAGTGAACATGTTTCCTCCAGGATGCTGAGAGCAAAACCTAAGTCTCATCCTCTTGGATCTGACATAAAAAGAGTCAGGAAATCATATTTAAAATATTCTTTCATGCTGCATGAAAAAAGAAATCAGTCAATGGTTAAGTATGGATGATTCATTTCAAATGTCCTTTGGTGACCAAATAATTTCTGAAATGCATCCACTGATACATTTGGCAAGAATCATCTCTTCACAACTTGCATGTGAACACTCCTCTATCTTGGAAAAAGTGGCAGTATACTGAAAATTTAAAAATATATATTGTGTTTCTCAAACTAGACCTGAAAATTTTAGTCTCTACCTTTTCCTGAACCTATACATTTTATACTTTAACACCAACTGCTCTAATAAAATGTAATTAAGCATCCACATGTGATTTTTTTTGCCCCTTTTGATGAAAATCACAGAGCTGGTCAGGTGCTTTGGTGCACAGCTGTAATCCCAGCTACTCCAGAAGCTGAGGCAGACCCTAGGCAACTTGGTGAGACCCTGTCTCGAAATTCAAAAAGGGGCTGGGAATGTAGCTCAATGGGAGTGCAACCCTGGGTTAGATCCTTAGTATTGCAATAAATAAATACATACATAAATAAATAATTAAAAATAGAATTACGAAGCTGAGCAGAGCATCATGGGAAACAGTGCACCTGCCACCTTCCCAGCATTGAGAGGCATAGTAGTCCTGAGACAGGCCTGTCTGCAGCACCTTCTCTGAGGTTCCCAAGGTGTCTGGTAGAAATCCCTGGATACCTGTGGTTCCAACCTCCATGCAGTGTATTAGGTAGGCTAGGTGAAGTGAGGCTGCAGTAAGAAACAATCCCAAATCTCAAGGCCTAAGCACAACAAAAGTTTATTTCTAGTTCATTGTTCCTGCTTAACAGAGGGTGGGAGGAGCTCATTCCATGACCCAGGCTGACAGAGGTGTTGTCGTCTGGGTGGTCACCGTGACAGAGGGAAAGAGAAGGTGACAGAGCCTTTGCTGGTTCCGGAGACTTTCACTTGGAAGCGGCATATGTCACTCCACTTATATTTCACTGGGCAAACCACTCACGGGGCCAGACCTACCTGGAAGGGGACACAGAAATGACCATGACCCCCACATTGAGCAGGCAGAACATGCAACAGTCAGAGCCACAGACCCACTTTATGCCAAGTGGCCAGGTGAAACCAGATCGTTTATCTCTCTGCTTTTCTTTTCTTTCTTACTTTCCTGAGACAAAATCCCGATGAATGAGACTTTTACAAAAATCTTACTGGAAAAACCTACTCCACTAAAAATACACAAGAAAGGATGAAGCATATTTGCTGTATGGAAACAAATATTCAACAACCACTTCAGTCAAGTTCATAGAGCCCCTGAGCAGGGTAAAGTTTAATCAGGAACTTTTAGTACTGCTGCTATGTTTTACTGGCATAATTCAGGCATTTGAGGGGAAGACTCCTTGTAGATTAATACTTTAAAGTATAAGGAAGCAAGGGTGGACACTGTCCAAGTTCATGCAATATCATACAGCTCACCATTTTGTCTCCAAGCTTAATTAAAAGTTCTCAGCCTACTATAACCACAGGGACCTGTGGCCAAGACCCCCACCAGGAAGGGAAGGAGTACACAGGTCCGTACTTCCTGAGACTGACTTCCCTCTGTATGTGTGTTCTTATGTTTTCGAGTCCTATCTGGCTCAAAATTTAACTCTTCCCACTTCAAATCGCATTAAATTATATATATTTTTTCCAGCAATGCTTTTCATTTCAGCCATATTAAAAGTCTTCTCTGCCCTTTCTGGGGAAAGGAAAACTTGAACAGTGAAACCTACCTTTTAGTAAGTTACTCACAGAACACACACTTTCCTGGTTTTCCTCCTGCCTTGCTTTTTACCAGATCCTCTCTACTGCCTCTAAATGTTGGATTCCTTGGTGCTGAGGCCAAAGTCCTATTCTTTCCTCTGTTAATATTCTCTCCCTGGACCTTTGTACCAACAGCTTCATGTATCATAACCAATGACTCCCACATAATTATCCAGATCCCCCTTATAAGCCACACAAGCTTATGTGGCATTTCCATGTGGATATCTGACTTAGTCCTTTTTTGTGCTGCTTAACAAAATACCCGAGACTGGTTTAGCCCACAGTTTTAGAGACGTAGACTCCAAGATCAGGACATGGCACCTGTCCCGCCTCCAGTAAGGACTTCCGGCTATGTCACATGGCAGGTGGCATCTCAGAGCAGGAGCAGGTGTGACAGTGACAAGTGGACAAATGGTGGGTGCAGAAATATGTAGAGTGCTCCGTACCAATCCACTCCATTGGTAACCTGTCCAGTTCCACGAGAACCAACCCACTCCCCAAAGCAGGTCTTAATTCCTTCCTCACAGAGTAGTGTCCCTGTGAACTAATCCCCTCCCAGAAGGCTGCTCGCTTTAAAGTTCCACTCTCTCTCACTACTGGGACATGGAGGACCCGTCCTCTACCACATCAACTTCTGGGGACAAACCACATTCAGATCATAGCAACCAGACTTAGGGACAGGCGGCCTCTCCAGTGCCCTCCAGCAACTTCGTCCTTCCTGGCTTTCACACCCTGTGTGCTTCCTTCTCACACTGCTCAAGTCTGGTCTGTGTGACCAGCCTCTGGCATAAGAAAGGGTTTGTCCCTTTTGAGTCTGGGCTCTACAAAGACTGCGGCTTCCATCTTGGGCTCTCTTTCTCTCTTGGATCATTCACTGTGGGCGAAGCTACACTATAATCAGCCCTGTGCAGAGGTCTACACAGTGAGGAGCTGAGTTCTCCAGCCAACAGCCATGTAGTTTATCAGCAACCATGGGAAGAGTGCAGAAGCAGATACTTCAGCCCCTATCACGCCTTGCCGTGACAGGAGCCCTGGTCTTTACCTTCCATTGGTGGTGGTGGACTCAGGATGTACAAAGTGTGGGGTGGCCTAAGGGATGAGCACACAGGCTTTGGAGTCAGAAAAATATAGATTTTTTCCCCCCACTTTTAAACTTTCCAGCATTGTGGTTTAAGCTTCCTGTGCCTTAACCAGAAACAACCAACTCAATCACATCTAACATTCAGATCCCTAGAAACTGTGGGACAATAAATGTTAATCTGTTAAATTTTAGGATTTTTAAAAATGCAGCAGTATCTTAACACATCACAGACTCAATGTGTACCAAGTAGAATATTCTCTCCGATCTGATCCCCAATTTGTCTTTTCCCTAACCTTTGTTTAATAACTGCCAGTGACAACTTACTCAGTTTTCAAGCCAAGAAACTAAGAATCATCTTTGGCTTTTCCCTTTTTCTCACATTCACATTCAATACCTCAGGAAGTTCTGTGGAATCCAAATCCAAAATATTTAACATGAATCCATTCATTCGATAAATATGTATTAAGAGTTGACTTTGCATACAGCTGTGCACCAACAGCTGCTGGAGAAACCACAGTAAACAAAATAAGCACCACCATCCCGTCCTCAAGTACTTGACATTCTTATTCCAGGGAGTAAATAATGATTTAGAAATAAAACCGAAGTATCCCCTGGGGGCCAAAGCAATATGGAAGTAAAATGAAGTGCGTGGGGTGGAGGATACCATGGTCTGTGAGTGCTATTTTAGACCAGTGCTCAGGAAGGCGCTACCAACGGTGATAGCTGCAAAGTCCATTTCCTCTGTCTCTGCCGCCACCACCCTAACCAGAGCCACCACCAGCTTCTGTTTGGGCTTCATCATAGCCACTTCATGTTTCTCCCCTGCCTAAAACCCCTGAGTGGCTTCCCACAGCTTTACAAGAAAATCTTAAGCCCTCATCAGGCTGCAAAGCTTCCTATGACCTAGTCCTACCCAGCTCTCCAATTTCCCCTTGAACCAAGCACCCAAGCTCCAGCTGCTCTGTCCTTCTGGAAGTTTCTAGAACATACCAAGTTCTTTGATGCTTCCTCTAACCTTACAGGTCTCTAAGAAAAGAACAACATCTTTAAATCCTTCTCATCCTCTGACTGCCCTGCTCAGGAGTGTACTTTTAGTTCCTATTGGTGACGGGGCAGACTTGTGATATACAAAGTGTGGGGTGGCCTAAGGGGTAAGAGCACAGGCTTTGGAGTCGGAAAAATATTCCCCCCCCCACCTTTAAACTTTCCAGCATTGTGGTTTAACCGTTCTGTGTCTTAACTTTCTCATCTGTACCATGAAAATCTCTCAATGACCCAGACACCACCCCGGCAATTAGCTTTTACTGTGAAAAGGTATAGGCGTGGGGATTCCAATTATGACTCTAGAATCAAGGACCTGAAATAAAATACTTTGCTTTTTTACTCCAGAAAGCTATATTCCATGTTTTGGTAACGTTTATAACCCTAAACCAACACGCAACCTCCAACAACACAAACACAACCTCATCAAGTTGCACTTTGTGAATCTGGTGTTTGAACTGTTCTTCTAAACACTGAATTCCTATCAACAGCCAGCAAGGTTTTCTTTTCTCTCCCTCCAGGGCACTGAGATTTCTCGGAAGGGGGTAGGTGTTTCTTAAATGACACCAGGCCTTGAGGTGACTGCCGTGCGTGCTGTCTACGGAAAATGAACTGGGACTTAAGTCCTCAGATCCCTTCCTTTCGTTCTGTGACCAGGAAGGCGACGGTGCTGCAGGTGCCCCTGTGGAGGCGACTTGGGAGCGAATGCCAGGGTTTCCGGTGGGTTCTCCCGGCAGGAAGCCCAGCACCCGGGCGCCTTTATAAAACCGCACCCCGAGCTGCGCTCGCCTCACTCGCTCCCACCGGGAGGCGGCAGGTGGGCGGGAAACTTCGGGATGGACGTAACACACGGGCGACGCCCAGGCCGAGGCTCCGGGGCGCAGGGAGGCGGAAGCGAGGGAAGGGGCTAAGGAGCCTGGTCGGGCCCCGCGCCGCCGCTAGGCCCCAGCTCGAGCCTGCGCCCGGCCCTGCAGCTCCCGGCGGTCCCAGGGCGCCAGGGGCCCCTCCTACCGCGCCCAGCGCTCCCGCGCCCGCTCCGGCTCCGGCTCTGGGCGCCTGCGATCCGCTGCGCGCCGCCGCCCTCGGGACCCCGCGCCCGGCCAACTTCCCGGCCCTTTCCGGCCCCTCGCCCCTCGCCCCTCCCGCTTCACCTTCCGCTCCAGGCCTTCCCCGTCCCCGGCCCAGCCACGCCCACCAGGCTCCGAGCCACGCCCACCACCCGGGAGCCCCGCCTTCGGCCGCTGCCCACGCTCACTTGGCGCTAGCCACGCCCCATTTTAGCGCCTAGGACACACCCGGTGGGCCCCCGCCCCGCCCCGCCCTCCTGCGCTCAGGTCTGGACCCCAGCCAGCTGCAGGCCTCCTCCGTCCCAAGCGGCGGGCCTGCAGCTGCCAGGTCTTTTCCTGGGCTGGGCTGGGAGCCCACTTACTCTGGGCTAGAGTCTGTTATAGAGAGATAACCCCAAATATCCTGGAAGGAGAGGGTTTTTTTCTCTTTTTGGCCGGTTTGAAAGAACGAGGGGCTCAGCCCCGCCAAGAGAAAGTCATTAGCTGCGTTCTCCCCAGATCCCAGTTCTCACGGAATAACCCCATACGTTCGGGCCTACAGTGGCTCTTAGTTTTCTCCAGGGCCGACACACCAGAGGCGGTGTCACCATAGGATCTGCGTCCGTGCCCTTCATACAGAGAACCTTGGGTTTGCGGTCCTGGTTCTTCTCTGTTTCTTGTTCCTAGGCCTGAGTTTCCTCTTTCGGACTGGCTGTAGTACTTCATCTGGTTCAGTGAATACAGATCCGGGAATGCAGGGTTAGTGACTACGCCTGCGTGCGCAAACCGTGGTACCAGAAGCAGTTCTCACATTAGAGTAAGACCTTGAAGTATTGCACTGTAATCGATTTAATCCCAAATGCGAAGAAAAAAAGTGCGGATGGGAAGACCCTACAGGAGCCATTTCAAAGGAAGGGAAAGATTTAATAATAATTGAGGATGTAGATTGAGGCAAATGGGGCAGGGCTCTGTAACAGGTGTATGGTAACTTGTTAGAGTTTAGAGAAGCCTGCGAGTGGGAGGAGTTATTCCCCTCCAATTACAGACAAAAAACCAGACTTAGAGAAAGAAATACCTTGTTTGAGGGCAGCACTAGAATCTGGGTTGGTTCATATCAACCACTAAACCATCCTTCTTGGTACTGCAGAATGAGGCACTTCTCGAGGAGGCTGGGGAATGAATCCATTTAAGGCCGAAAAAAAGAGAACAACATGTCTTCTTTTCTTACTTAAAATAATTTCATTTTGTTTTCAAGGAGTGTGAAAAGTATGAGACGTTATTGAGAAAAGAGCTCTGTTGGCAGGGAGAAGATACTGAGGGAGAACGAGGGGTCTAGGGAGCTTGGCTGAGTAAACCCTAGCAACAGGGATGGGCAGAAAAGCCAGGCCTGAGAAGAGGAGAGACGACAATAAATGTGGAGGGGAAGAACGGCAAGGCCCGAGTCTGGGGAGAGTTGAATGTCCCTAGAATGACTGGGACTCACACTGAGATTGTGTAATGAACAGACGGATTGAGGGAGGCTCCCAGGGTGATGTCAGTGCCAGCTGCCACTCGATTGTGTGTGCTGCAACCACGAAGCCGTGTAAATGGGTACCCGACAATGCCTGTTAAGCAGAGGCCTAAAAGTCCATTATTTATAATGTCATGCATTTTAATGGCCCATGCTGCCAGACGTGAAATTATACACAAGGTTCACGTTAGAAAATGACTTCAGGTTTTCTTTAGGGAAGTTACTAAATTCTCTGCTGCCCACATTAAACCCATTGAGCAAGATTTGTGATGGATTTCACTTGCAGGCTCTTATTTCTATGATTTTATTCTTTAAAAAGGTAATGTTAAAGAGAAACTACTCCAGATTGTATTTCTCTTTGAAAGAAATAGCTGCAAAAAGCCTTCAAATTAATATGCAAAAGATTTATATCAGAACTCTATCAAACTGTTATGAATAGGTATGCTCCAATAAGCGGCAACAACGGTGGAAAACCTTTTAGCATACAGTATCTGATTATATACTCTTTGTGTGTGGTAAATTACTAAAGCACTACTGTTAAGCACCAAATGCTATTGTGTTTTTAAAAATAAGTAAAATAAATGTGCTTCAGCATTGGCCTCAAAATCGACTAGCTCTGGAGATAGGTGAACAAGAATGGGTGAAAAATATTTTTTATAATGTTCTGCAGTCAAAAATAATAATCTGGCATCAAACTTGTGTCCAGTTTAATTTTTCACTCTTTCCTCCTGGAGAAACTTAACTTCAAACTATTTTTTGAAAGCTAGAATACCAATGTTCTATCATATGT